CATGGACACGGCCGTATGTGTCTCTGAGATCCCGCTTTCAATTCTCTGGGGTGCACACCCAGAAGTCTGAACGATGGGCCGAAGTTATTTCATGGTCAGATGGAATCCCACAAAGGGGTCCAAACTTTCGGAGGGCACCCTCTTGGCACACGACACTCCCCAGTCTCTCTCTTCTTCTAGAGTCTTCCCTTGCCTGGGAGGGGCTCCTGGGGCTCCTCCTCTCTCCCCCCCAGGGTTGGGCCCATCCTGAGAGCATGTTCTCCCCTCACCTCGTGATTCCTGGGCCAGCCCCGCCCCAGGAGTGCCTTCCGGAGTCAGTCCTCCTAGAGACGACTACCCGATCTCGGACTTGCAGCCTCTAGAACTGCGAGAAGCAAATGTCGGTGGCTGAAGTCACCCAGGCTGTGGTATTGTGCTGCGGCCGCCCGTGCGGCCTGGGACACGGGGCTACGGCAAATGCAGGCAGAAGCCTGAACAACCACTTCTCTACATCTTCGATTCGATGGCGGCCGTCTGGGGACACAGGAGGTGGCATGAGAATTCATGACCCTTCAGTACAGGAAACCCACCAGGGGTGGGGACAGGGAGGCTGCTCTTCCAGGGCCATGAGTGTGTGTGTGCAGGTGTGTATGTGCATGAGTGTGCATGTGTGCATGCATAGGAGAGTATGTATGTATGAGTGTGCATGTGTACAGGTATGCGTGCATGTGTGTGTGCATGAGTGTACATGTGTGCGTGCGTAGGAGTGTGGGTATCAGTGTGTATCAGTGTGTGTTAGTGTGAGTGTACAGAGCATACTGTGCGTGCATGTGTGCATGCGTAGGAGTGTGTGTGCATGTATGAGTGTGCATGTGTGTGGATGTGTGTATGAGTGTGAGCCTACAGAGCACACCGTGTGCGCATGTGTGTGGGACAGGACTGACCGCCCCAGACCTTGGCAAATGTACTGATGTCACTGTGGGGACAGGACAGTGAGCCTTCTAAGGACAAGATTCCAGGACCTGGGGCCCGGGCAGGGGCTGCAGCAGGGAAGGGCAGCCGGGGCCCCAGGGATGGAGAAGAGCAGGAGGAGGGCGGGGCTAGAAGGCTCCTGGGAGGTAAGGGAGGCTGGCGGCCCCCAGGCCTCCCGCTGCTCCTTCTGCCCGTTGCGGCAGCAGCGGTGGCCAGGGGGGAGCCCGAGGGCTTGAACAAAATGCAGCACAGCCAGAGCACAGACGAACCCCAAGACCAGCATCAGGCAACACCAGGCACGTTACAGACACTTCACTGTTCCTGTTGCAAAGTTCGAAGCAACTAAATCTTCCCTTTACAGAAAAGAGCTTCTGGGACCTCCTGGCACGTGTTCCTGCCCCGGCTGCTCCCCCGCCTGGAGCACCCGCCCCTCACTCCTGGTGTCTGCCTGTCCCTCCAGACACCTGTAAAAGGACCCCTCTGCCACGAAGCGCCCCAAGTCTTCCGCTGGGTCGGCACAGGCCCACCCCAGGGGCTGACGGTCCCGGGGGAACCTGAAAGGTCCTGCTACAGAGGGGGTTGGGGGAGTGTGTCCCCCAAGTCTCCCCACGAGGGGTACCAGGGAGCATTTTTGCGGTCAGGAAACCCTGAGAGATGAGGAGTTTTCCAGGCAGACGGGGTGGCTGGGAAGGAAATTGAAGGTGTGGAGGTGTGAGGCAACGGGCGCCTGAGCGAGGTGAGCCCGTGTGCGTGTGTGTGCGTGTGTGCGTGCATGCACATGTGTGTATGGGTTTGTGCGTGTGCAGGGGGTCAGGGGTCAGGTGGGGAGGCCTACAGCCCACTGTGGCAAGCCTGGAGAGGCCACCAGCGCCCTCCCTGCGCCTGGGCTGCAGCCCCCCACCCAAAGGCGCTGAGGAGCAGTGAGAGGCCGGGGCCCGGGGCCCCCCTCTGCCTGGCCGGAGCTGACCCACTGGAGGCGCCAGGCCGGAGCTGGGAGTCGCTGAGATGGGGGGGGATGTGGGCCAGGAATGAGGGGGAATGGCCAGACCCAGGGACCCCAGGGTGGAGGGGGAGGAGGCGTTTCGGGGGACAGGCCACCCTGACGCGCTGGGTCCCTGGTCCTCGGGGTGTGATGGGGAGGCCGGGCTGCCCCCGCGAAGGGCCCCGCGGCGCAGTGAACCTTTCCCGTCCACACGTGAGGGCTCGCAGCGCCTCACAGCGGGGGCTCCCGGGCCACGGGTTTGGAATGCCTCCTGCCCCTGAGCCCGCAGGGGACAAGATTCAGGGGTCTGTGAACTCCATGGAAAAACAATGACATCTTTATGTCCCTAACCGCTGAACCAAAGTTAGCAGAGCCCACGGCTTGTTGGCAACGGACTCAGACGGGCTGGAGCCGCACGCAGAGGTGGGGGTACCTCGAACCACCACGGACGCGCTCAGGACCCCAAAGTCCGCCACTGCTGGGTCCACGTGAGATCTGGTCATTGCTGTGTTGATGAAGATGTGACTGCTACCATGCACACGGTTTTTAAATGTCTTGCAAGCCACGTAGCAACACAGTGGGCTTCCTCTGTCATCCTGTGTTATCTATCGTTAGCTTTCAAAACACCGTTCTGAGAAGGCACCTGTGGCTCCCCGATGCCCGAGGCAGTCGGGGCATGGAGCAGGGGGACCCCAAGATGTTGCATGGGGGCACGCTGAGCCGGAGTTATCGACCACGGGTTTCCCCAGCTGAGTGAATACTTTCAGTAAGAGTTTTTTGTTCCCATCAGATCTTCCCCTGCTTCACCCTGTGGGTGACTCCCGTCCCCTTCCCACCCACGAGCGAGCGGGGGGCTCACAGGAGCGTCCGCTGCTGACGGAGGCGGGCCCCCCACCCCAGCAAAGGCGGGACGCTTCACGTTCTGCCCCGGGGCTTTGGCCTGATGCGTGTTTGTTGACTTCGTTTAGCAGGACTTGTCATCTTAGCTTTTGGAGCATGTGTGGCAGCCAGTGCTGGGCGTAGGTGACAGCACCCACGCTTCCCCACGGAGCCCCCGCTCGTGGCTGAAATGCAGACTCAGGGTGCGCAGAGGGAGCCAGGGCCTGGGACTGTGCATTTGAGAGGCGAGGGGCAGAGTGTTCAGGACCCCCCCCCCCACACAGAATTAAACACACGAAAGACAAAAATAATAAAATGGTTTCCTGAGCCCCAGCCCTGGAGACCCAGAGGAAATGAGCCCACTGGAGACCCCTGGTGCTGCCGGTGGCAGATCCACCATAATTAACAAATTAACACATATTTCGCTCGTGTAACAGATGTCGGGGGGTCCGGCTCGGCCTGCAGCTGGGGGCTCAGCGGGAGAGGGAGAGAGGAGCCGCCTGGGGCCTCCTGGGGGTGGGGGGACAAATAATAAGGAACTTTCTGCAAAGCTCCCAGGAGCTCGTGAAGCTGAAACCTCCGGGCCCCTCTCGGGCTCGGGTTCCCTCCAAGGCCCAGGGAGGACCCGAGCAAGGCGCTCAGGTGTCGTAAACATGCGACACGCAATAGCGTCTCAACTGGTTCAAACCACCGGCTCTTTCCACTCTGCTTCGGCAGAGAACCCACCTCCCGCATGGTGTGAACCTCTGGCCCCCAAATCCCGCTTCCACCACTGGATTTCAGTGACAAGTTCTGGGGAAGAGTAAGCCAGGCGTGGGTGGGGACAAGGGTGGGACTCGGGTGGCGGAGGGCAGCGCTACAGGGACAACACTGTGGGCCGCAGCCAGCCTGAGCATCCTGGTGGCCGAAATGAGCGTGGTCAGTGACGTGGCCTTCAGGATAAGGTTCGGTTCCTGGAGGGGACACTGGTGTCTCGCCTGAGGCCAAAGCGCGTACGTCTGTGACAGGTGGCCTCCTGTCCTGATGTACCCCTAACTTCCGTTTTCCCTGGTCCTGGGTTTTCACTGGTAATTTACATGTATGTGTGTATACATATATATTTAAAGAGCTACAGAAACTGTGAGATAACTTGCCAATTTATAAGATGCTTGGATGTACATCACCTCGGACATTTTTTGGGAACGAGGCAGGGTCTAACAGACACGCGCAATCCCCCTCAGCGGGCAGCTCCTTTCTGGGGCTGGGGGTGCAGCCCGGTGGGAGCGGCCTCCTCTCTTCCCCAGGCCCTCCCCAGCCTCCCCAGCCTCCACGGGCCCAGGCTCAGGCCGACCCTCCTCCTGCGCTTCAGCAGGCACAGACATCGCTGGCTGAAGGGGATGGATTAGTCAAAGAGCTCAGGGACCACCAAGGAAAGGGCCCAGCTTGCCACAGGCCTGAGTGCCACCCAGCAGGTGCCACCAGCGTTCCCTGGGTCAGACCAGGCCCAGCAGCACCTAGGGGCCCAGGATGCTCAGCGAGGGTACTGAGACCTCCCACAGCCCCTCCCCGGGCGTGGGGGGGTCCCAGGCCCGCCCCAGTTCCGTGAGGAAGCTGGGAGCCAAGGAGGGCATTTGGGATCTCAGTCCCTTGAGCCACGCTGATGGTTCCCAGACCAGGTTCAGGCTCCCGCCTGCTGCTTGATTCCTGAGGCTGGGGTCGCTCTTGCCCCCCCAGGCACCCAGCCTCGTCATGCCCGGCCCCGCACCTGTTCCTGGAGCACCATCCGAGAGCTGAGGGGGTCGTGTGCCGCGCCTCGGCTTCAGCGGTTCTGTCCTGGCTAACACCAGGGGCACAGTCACAGCCAGACCCCTGGCGGCAGGGCCTGTGACCGGCACCCAGTCCCCGACCCCTGGTGTCCCAGCTCTTCCTCCAGGCCCCTCCGTCAGGGGCAGAGAAAGCGAAGCAGAAAGCTAGCCGAGGCTGGACAACAGGGCGGCCCTAACCACCCCCGTGTAGGCCCACGGGCCCTGGGAACCTGTCCCCCGCCCAGGAGTGGGGAGGCCCCGCGAGGCAGGGCCTGAGGGTGAGCACCCTGGAGGGACATCCCTGGGGCCAGCACCGCACACGCGAGCCTGGGAGCCAGGACGACAGGTTTTATTCCATTCATCCCACCCACCCTGTCCCCACGGCCACCCCAGGCAGAGGCAGGACTTCTGAGACGGAGCCACACGTCCAGGTCTTGCTGCGTCGGAGGGGCAGGTCTGCTGCAGGCCGGCCACTCTGGGGGCCCGGCGTGGGCAGAACACACCGATCCGCATTCTCCGTGGGCGGCTGTGCGCACGGCAGGGCTGGGGCGGGAGCGAGGGGCCGATCCCCCCACGCCACGAGCTGACCCTTGCACCTGGGTGACGCCAACTCAGTCGCCCCCAAAACAGACCGGGGCTGAGCAGGGGAGGCCGAAGTTTCCAACACAGACCCAGGAGTATAAAGTGATCAAGGCCAATGACAGGGCTGACGGGGCTGGCCAGAACAGGACGAAGTATAAAAGTCTCGCACACACAAGGACACGCATACGTGGGGGTCAGTAAAAACGAGGCCACCCCGAGGCCCTCACACGACACTCTGCTGGCCCCCGGGGCCCTCAAAGTCGGACACCCCCGAGCCGCGGCCCCGGCCAAAGTCAATGAAAATCCCCTCGGAATCCGAGTCCGCGGACTCCAGGATCTGGTCCACCAGGTTCTCGGGGCTGGAGGAGGGCGGAGAGCCGTGGGCTGGGCCCGGGCTGTGCTCGGGGGGCTGGCTGGGGGGGCACAGTCTGCTGGGGCAGGGCCCCGAGTGGGGCGCCGGGGAGGACCTGAAGGCCCCCACAGGGCCCTGGCTGGGCGTGTCGGAGAAGCCCTGGGTCTCGGGGCAGGACGTCATCTCGGACACGGAGTGCCTGCGGATGCTCGTGCCGCCGGACGCGGCGCCCTCCGCCTCGTGCTCGGCCACGGGGTTCAGCAGTGGCGTGTTGTAGCTCTTGGAGCGCACCACCGGGTTCTTGGCCAGCATGTCCCCCGCGCGGGAGCGGCGCAGGAAGCGCTTCTCTGCAGAGAGAGAGACGGTCACAGGCGCCGCACGCCAGAGGCTGGGCAGGACGGCCACTCGCCCGCCTGCTCCTTTGCGCCAGTACACCTTGGCGCTTGCCAGGAAGGCCTGACTCAGATCCTGGGCCCGGCCCACCGGCCCCACCTGCCCAGAGTCAGGCACGGGCTCCCGGCTGACAGTAGGTCAGGTCCTGGTGACCCCTGGATGGGCACGGCCTCAAGTCAACTGCCCAGGTTGGAATCTGCACCCTGCCAGTGACCTGTGTCTGACCCCGGGTAAGTTACGTACTCCCTCCATGCCTCAGTTTCCCCACCAGTGGAAGCCTACGGGTCTTGGTGCTTGCTAGGTGCCGCCAGTTTCCTAGGCGGACACAGCCCCTGCCCTCAGAGCTGGTGTCCCGGTGTCCGTGTGTTACGTGGACAAGCCACAGGGTCGGTCGTGGCCATGCTGGGGGCAGGTGGCGAAAGCCTCCCATGTAGGGCCAGGCTGGGAGTCTATCCTAAGGGGCAGGCGTCATTGGGCCTCAATGGCTACTATGTGGAGAGTAATAGACTGTAGGGGACGAGAGCAGACGCAGGGACCGGGGTAGGAGGCCCCATCAGTCATCTGGGCGGGAGGCCGAGGCTGGGCGAGGGCTGGTTTCAGGCTCCCAGTCACGGCCCTGCAGTCCCAACAGGGACCACCAGGTGGCAAGGCTGAGCGCAGCAAGCGCCCTGAGGGTCTTTCCTGGCCTCGGAGGCCACAGGATCCGTCCTGGGGTCTGTCCTGTCCAGGCTGGGGGCCCAAAGTCCCCCTCAGCTGCAGGAGCCCTGCCTGAGCTGAGACACATTGGTGGGTGGGTTTTATGCCAGCAGGTGGGCACAGAGGTGCCACTCTGCACGGAAGGCACATTCCCAAGTAGCCCTTACACCTACCACCTGTCCCCTTGGCAGGGATGTTCCCGTCCCTCAGTGCAACGTCACCTTGGGGACTTGCTGGTCTGCTTGCCCTGTGGGACTGCAGCCAGTGAGGGCGGGGCTGGGCGCACAGTAGGTGCTCAAGTGACGTTGCTGAATGAACCAACGGGCTCTACCAAGGGAGCACCGTGGCTGGCTCCTGCTGGACGTGCCAGGCGGGGACGCCCCTCCACGGGGCCTGCCCCCGCCCACCTGGGACCTCGGCCCTCCTCTGCCCCTGCGGTTCCCTGACGGAGCAGGAGTCCTCAGGCTCCGGCATCTGCCAGTGGAAAACGCCCTGTCTGGCCGACTTCTGGTCACCGAGCACAGATGTGACCTCCCAGGGAACAGTGGCCTCGTGGGGCTGCCTGCCCAGCCCCACCCTCCTGTCCAGGCCAGCGCGCGGCCGGGCTGGCAGACGCTCAGGACCGAGTAGGAGGCTGGCTCTGCCGCGCCTCGGCCATGGGGCCTCCCTTGCCGGCCCCAGCCCGGGCGGATCCCTACCCAGGATGCAGGAGTGGGTGAAGGGCCCCTCGCTGGAGCAGAGGCCGTAGGTGCCCAGGTACGGCGACACCACTTTCTGGATCAGCGTCTCCAGGCGCAAGTAGTCCTCAGTCACGCCCCTGGACTCGTGTACCCCCTGCAAGAGCACGAGGGAGGGTCACACGCCCGAGCCTGCCGGCCCCAGGCCCCCGGCCGCGCTGCTCCCTCCCCCTCACTCCCAGGGGGTCTCTGCCCCCACACAGGGCCCACAGCGCCTCCCCCCTTCCCAGCCCCCTCCCAGAGCGTGTGGCCTGAGTCACCGCTGCTCCACACCCTGGGTGGCTGCCGCCGCCACGTACAGTAGCCGTCATGGGCCTGGGAGACCTCGATAGCCCAGGGAAGGAAGGGGCCCTGTGGCCAAATGACGCTGCTCACCCTGCCCTCGCCGCCCCCAGGGAGTCTCCTGCACTGGAGTCCTACAGACTCTGGGCAATCCCTTGGGAGACGCCTGTTGACCCCAGCCAGGGAGCCCCACGCTTGCCCACCCGGAGCCCTGCGCTCACCCGCTCCCTGAGGGCACTGCAGGCAGGAAAGGCTGCCCCACGGGCCCAGGCCCGGGTCTGTGTCCGCCTGGGGTGGTTAAGGCCGTCCATCCAACAGACGCCCCTGCACCCCACACTCTCCCCCGCGTCCCTTACTCAGGCCCAGGCCGCGTCCCTGCCTCCCCGACGCCTCCCCTCAGCCCGAGCTTTGAAAGGCTTCCCCCACCTCCAGTTTCGTTCAAACCAAAGCCTGGGAGACGAGGCTCCCAAAAACTGGACTGAGTTTTGCTGAGGACAGGGTGGGCTTCCACGGGCGCCCTCAGTAAGGTCACCTGGACTAGCATGGAGGATCCCACATTGCCCTGGAACCGTCTCTGCCACAGCAGCAGTGACGTGGACAAGGACAATGGTGGCCCCAGCTACGGCTCACGGAGCTGCGCTGGGCGTTTCAGGAACCTTCTGCCATTTTGTTCCTAGAACCTGCATGATGTCGCCCCTCCACATCCCACAGGTGAGGGAGCGGAGGCCCCGGTGGGGCTGCCTGCCCGCGCTCAGACACGGGCCGTTCCACGCGATCGGAACCCCGTGAGAAGGCGCTGTGGTCCTGGGGGTGAAGCACGGGGCACACAGGAGGCCCCCAACACACGGGACCGGCGGATGGCACCTCGGACCCGCCCAGGACATGAAGGCAGCAGGGCCAAGTTCACCAGGACAAGGTCAGGGAACAGGATCTTGGGGAGATCGGGTCATTCAAAGTGGGCTGGGTGGGGCGATGGCAGGGGCTCGTGGTTGGTGGGGGGCAGGCGGTGCACCCGTGAGGGGCAGGAGGGCAGTCTGGGGACAGCAGGGCCACCCCCAGGGAGCCACATGGGCCACAGCGACCACCTGAGGTAGCACTGCCCCAGCCCTGGCAGCCTGGCATCGAAGGTGCCAGGTGCCAGGAGCCAGGATCCTCACACCTATCCTGCTAGGTAGGAGGTCCTCCGTGTCACAGACTAGGACACCGATGTGGAGAGAGGCAACGTCCCTCAAGAGCCACAGCTGCAACCCGGCCAGATCTGACCTAAAATGCCCTCCCGCTCTGTCGCCGGGATGGCGACCAGCCTCCGCCCAGCGCAGCAGCCCCTGCGACCTGCAAACCTCCAGCCCGTGGCGCCTTCCCTGCTGCGGAGCCCCCCTCACATGCGCAGGGGGACTCGGGACTGGGAGGTGCCGCGCCCACCGCAGGGCGCAGAGGCAGCCGTGGGCAGGGACATGCAGCTCGGGGGGGGGCCGTGGTGCCCACCACTCCCCTCCCTTGGGCAGGACCCCCGCCCCAGCTGTTGGGAGTGTGGCCGCTGACAGTGACCCTGGAGCCCCTCCCCAGGGCTGTCCTCGCGGACAGCAGCCATCAGGACAGAACGTCTGGGGCCGTGTGTGTGAGGAACCCACAGCCACATGCCGACTGGAACCGTGTATGAGGGCTCAGCCTCCTGCCCGCGGGGATGGCTCGGGCCGTCCACACTCCCAGGCACCCAGTGTTCTCTCCTGAACCCGCCCTCCCGCCTCTCTCCCTGGCAGGTTTCTCCCAGAGGCTCCCCATCCGCGAGTCACGTGCCCACCAAGCCTCGTCTCAGGCTCTGCCTCTGACCTCGGACACACCACGGCCCCCGCGCCTGACCCTGTGCCCCCTGACGGCCCCGCCGCCCTCACCTGCAGCACCAGCAGCATCTGCACGATGGCAGGGGGCACGCGGGCGTGGGCCCGGGCCAGCGCGTCCTCCAGCTTCACGCTGAGGGTGATGGCATTCCGGAAGTGCAGCAGGGCCAGCTGGCGCACCGACGGCTCCTTGCCCTGCGGACACAGAACCCGCCCTGCCGTGTCACCTGCGGCCCAGTCCCCCTCCTCCCACATACGGGGGAGTAAACCTGCTGACCCCCCGGCCCCCTCCCCCGCTCTGGTGACCCTGCCCCAAGGACAAAGGGCCCCCTTCAGTTTTCTCTGGCAGGGGAAAGGCTGCTGTCACACACAGAGCCCCTGGGCCTTAACTGCTGAGAGCTTTATAGGGAGGGAGCCGTCCTTATTTGCATGTTGTATGTTTAGGAAACAGGTTCTGAGAGGTCCAGGGATGGCCAGGCTCAGCCAGCCCAGAGGACAGCACAGGACGGAGCAGGTACACACGTCCCAGCCTGGCAGCCTCCTTCCCTGGAGCAAGGCCAGGCTGGGGGTGCCACCGCCCTGGGTCCCACGTGGCACAGGCACCTGGGGCTCACCCTCCACCCCTCCCCAGGCTCAGCCGCTCACCTGCACTGGGTAGAAGATGGCCTGTAGTGTGGGCAGCACGTCGCTGAAGAAGAAGTCCCAGGTCTCTGCCAGAGAGTCCAGCAGCTTCTGTCCTGTGGGCACGGGGGGCCGTCACCACCCGGCCCGAAAAGGCTCGGGCTTCGGCAGATGCTTCCCCTCACCCAGGATGGGCCAGGGGAGGTGGCGGGGAGGGCCTGGGCTCTGGGCCCCCAGAGGCACCAGCCTGAGGCTGACATCCAGCCCCGTCACGTGGGAGCTGTGTGGCCCTGGGCCGCCTTCTGAACTTCAGCTTCCCAAGTTGTAAAACGGGACGGTAACTGGGCCAACCTCCCAGAGCTGATGGCACGAGGTACTTGGCACAGGGTCTGGTGCCAGCAGATGCCAGGTGCTAGTTCCTGCGCCTGTCGCCCACGTGTGCCCCGCACAGCAGCTCCAGCTGTGTCTGGTCTCGTCGCACCCTCCTAACAACCCTGCCAGGCAGCGGAGCACCCATCCGCCCACCTGACAGACAGAGCACCAACTTTGCACCAAGCCTCACGCTGGGCGACCAGGACCCAGCTGAGCCCAAACATCCCCAGGCCCATCACACAACAGGGAGCAGGACACCAAATGGCAGTTACAAGGACAGTGGTGAGGGGCAGCGTCCACTGAGTAGAGAGAGACTGAGCTTCTGAGAAAAGGGTCTACCACAGTCAGTGACCCCCAGGGCCCAGGGCCAGGCCAGGCTGCCAGTGGTGAGGTCTGGGGAGCCACGAAGACCACGTCCAACAGTGGGACCACGTCCAAGGGAGGAGAGAGGGGGGAGAGGGTCAGTTAGGGAGGACTTCCTGGAGGAGGTGCTATTCATGCTGGATATGGGAGCTGGGCTTGCCAGACTGACGACATGTGGGGGCACATCTTGGCATGTGAGCCTCTGAAGCAGATAGACAAGCTCTCGGAGCATTTCTGCTGGCCCTGGGAGATGGGGACAGCCCAAGTGCCCCGAGCTGGCTCTGGGCTCTACTAAGAAATGCAACACGCGGAACCCTTGGTCTTTCTGCCTGGATGGAGCAGAGAAGCTGGGACGTGGGCTGCCGGGCCCACAGCTGAGCAGGCCCCAGCACGTGTCCCCAAGGCCTCTGCTGCCCGGAGGGGCTCCCGCCTGGGAGCCAGGCTCCAAACGGCTGGGAAAAACGGGGCTGCTGTGGGTGTCTCCCAGTGAGGAGGGCAGAGTCCCACATGCTGGCCACCTCCTGGCTGCAGGTCAGGCCAGAACTGCCTAGAGGTTTCCATGGGAATGTTGAGGCCAAAGGCCTTCTCTTTTCCTCACATTCCGCGGGCCCTGTGCCGCCTCCCCAAAAGCCCCAAGTCTGTGTGGGTGCCAGCACTGGGAGTGGGGCCTGGCCAGGGGCAGCCCCGGGAGGGCCACAGCGCAGTCCGGCCCGTGTGTGGCCCAGCAGCCCTCCCAGGTGGCCCACACCTGGCTCTGAAGGCGAAGCCGGCAGGAATGCCTGGGCTGGGCGGGCGCTCACCGCCCCGTGGAACGGCGCCTGCACACAAAGTCCCTTCAGTTCCCTGCCGTCGTCGCGGCGAGAAGAAAGGCGGCTTAGTCCCTGGGCCAACCGTGGGGTGGCCTGGGCGCCTGCCAGGCCAGCGTTTTGCTGAGCACAGGCCGTTCCCCGGCCCACGGAGCGGAAACGCTGTGGGGAGCAGATGCCGTAAAACAGGGTCCGGCCGCCGGAGCCGCGCTGACCGCCAGGCCAGGAAGGGCGGCCTCGTCTGCTGGCTGTGCTCGCCGCCAGCGACTCTGCTCTGGACAGTGTGGTGGGGCTGTCAGGGTCACCAAATCACAGGTCCGGGGTCAGGCCCTGCTTCCCACTATGCTGGGGGACCCCATGGAAGTCCCCTGAGCGGAACCTCCGGGGCAGCCCCTCTGCAAAATGGGTACAATGAGCACCCCCACGTGGGTAGGGTGAAAACCGCAATGAAACTGCCTGGTGTTTGCTCCCGGGGACATGGCTGGGTGTGTGTGTGTGCCGTGCCTTGGCTCGCACCCCGCAGTGGCAGGTGCTGAGCCATGAGGACAGACAGCCCACGTGGTGGTCGCGGCCCTATGGGCCGGTCAGAGCGCGTCCCCCTGGCCTGCTCCACTCAGAGTGCTGAGTGCCGAGGCAGGAAGGAACCGGGCTGATCTGGCTCAAGTCTCACAGCCCACAAAGACCAAGGGACGGCGAGGACCACAGGGCAGTGACAGAGGCCACGGCAGAGGCTCCCGTGAGTGGAGTGAAGGGCCGTGTGTGAAGGCCGCAGGAAGCGGTTTGGTCGCACGACCTACACCACGTTCAGATTCCCTGGTGGGCAAGAGACGCACACCCCAGGGCCGGGGCCAGCAGAGAACCACGGGCTCCTCCTCAGAGCTCCCGAGTTTCTGGCTGCCAAGAAGTGACCCCGGCGGCAGCCGGAGCCGATTCCCGTAAGCCGCCGCCACACAGAGACCATCGGACCACAACCTCGGCGTGGTCCAGCCTTCCACACTCTTCCTGGGGGGCCCTCCACCTCCAGGCTGGTCTTCCAAGCTTCCCACTCCCAGGAACCAATCTGCTCAGGGGCCGAAGTCCAAGGCCTCACTGGAAGCTGGAGAGAAGGGGCAGGCGGCAAGGTCCTGGGGCTGCCCATGCGGGGCCCCCCTGCCTCCATCTGCACCCTCCATGGCCGTGAGCAGTCTCCAGAAGACCCGCTGGGACACAAAACTGGGTGGGAGGCATGGAAGGGAAGTTCTAAGGTCACCCTCCAGCGTACGGAGTCAGCTGCATGGAGGCCAAAGGAGACCAGCCCTCCACATTTGAGGCCCAGCTCAAGGGCCACCACCTCCATGCAGGCCTCCCTAATTGCCAAAGTGGAATTAGCCCTTCCCTTCCCCCTGACATTGATCATACTGCACTGTCACCATCTGGTCCATCTCTGGGTTCCCAGAGGCCACCTGGGCCTGACATATGGACGGAGCCCGTCCCACCCCATGGTGCGAAGGTGGGGCACTGAGGCCAGAGAGCAAAGGCTGTGTCTACAGCTAAGGGGGAACCAGAGGCCAGGGCTCTGACTCCCAGCCTGGAGCTGCAGGCCTGTCCCTGATGCCAGGCAGGGCTGGCAAGGCAGAGGGTGAGGCTGAGCCCCTAGGCAGGGCTTGCGAGGGCCGCCCTCTGCCCCTTCCGCCAGGCAGGCACTCGCCACTGCTCAGGCAGAGCTCCGCCCCGCCACACAAAGCTCCCCTTCTCCAGCCATCCCCGCTCCCCTGGGCCGGAGCTGGTAGGAGGCGCAGGCACGGCCAGAATGTGCCGAGTCAGGAGGGGTGCGGGAGGGCACCCTCCTCAATGCCATGTGCCCATAGCCCCAGTTCACATGCTGCCTCCTCCAGGAAGCCATCCCAGGCGCCCGGCTGTCTGTGCCTCCCTACTCGGGCTGACAGTTCTCACTACCTTTCTGTTCTTGCCACGGCGGGCCCCACCCACCGTGTGCGGGGCAGGTGAGGAAGGAACACGCCAGGCCTCCAGGCCTCAGTGTCCCCTCTGTGAAATGGGAGCACCCTTCTTCTCAGGGTCAGAGCAAGGCCTCACAGGAACCTGGAACAGCAGTGGGAAGAGTGTGGGCTTGGCCGTCAGTTCCCACTTTGCGCCCTGGCTCTGCCACGGAGCCGCCACGTGGCCTAGGCAGGACACTGGACCTCTCGGTGCCTTTCCCTCCCCGCACGTTCGGTGGCGATGACAGTCGTGGCTCCTACACAGAGTTGCTGGGGATCAGATGAGAGTCTGGCACAGAGCATGCACGTGCCCGGACCCTGGCGCACTGTAGGTGCTCAACAAACGGTTACGGAGCCTGAACCCAGCACAGGGCTGGGCACGCAGCACACCCGAGCAAGGGAGATCAGCTTCCGCTGAGCCCTCCCCTCACCTGACCTCTCCCCACACTGGTTCGCTCCGAAGAGGACACCCGCATTTGGCTGTTGCCCCAAAGCCCTCAGACCCCCGGAGCCCGACAGGGCCAGGACCTGGCAGGTGGCCAAGGCCTCCGCCCACCTGCTGAGGGGCAGAGAGGCCAGCTGGAACCTCAGGCAAAGGGTCCAAATACTGCCTCCCCCCCGATGTGCGGTGTGGCCGCGGACAGATCGCCTGTCGTTACCGTGTTGTCCCCATTTGGGATGATGACCTGAAGGCCTCACAGGGTGGGTGCGATCCTTGAAAGAGAAAACTCACCGAAACTCCCCCCGCCACGCTCAGGTTGCAGCCCCCTCACAGCCACGAACACCCGCCCCTTCCTCTGTGAGCACGAGGGCAATCTCTGTGCTCCGAGCCACAAAGCCCAGACTGGGGTTCTCCTAGGCCTCTGGGATGGGACCACTCCAGGACAGAAAGCCCCATGGGCATGGGCAGCGAGGTGAGGCAGGGACCCTCCTGGCTCCAGCCAGTTTCGGGGGCCAGACCCTCTCCCGAGGCCCTCTCGTGGGTGTGGATCTTGGCCCTGCTACCCCAGGCTGTTTGGCCCCGGCCAGAGCTGCACCTCCCGCCCAGAGTGCCGGGGGCAGAGAGGCCTGGCTGTGCCACGGTTCCCAGCAGCCACACCGGCACGCAGCCTGGCCCTGGCCACGGGCTGCCACACTCACCCTCGTAGAAGCGGATCTTGTCCCGGAGGATCACCATGCCTTTGGTCAGCAGCTGGTTCTGCAGGGACACACAGAGGTGCCATCACTGTCCCGTGGGTGCCCTGGGGTGTCCTGCCCAGCAGGGCCCCCAAGAGCTCACCAGGCAGCTGAGGCCCAGAAAGGGGAAGTGACGTACTGGGGTCCCACAGCCCGACACTGCCAAGCTGGAGCCTCAGCTCACCCTGGGAGGCCACAGCTGACCTGACCTGGAGCTGTCACGACAGAGGTGGTGGCCGCAGGGACATCCTGGAGCCCCCTGTGCTGGGGGCCTTACACACCCCACCGTGCAGAAAGGACTCTGAGGCAAGAGGGGGCCTCATTACCAAAGGCCGGGCCTGTGGGCCGCCGCCACACCGCGTGGACCCTGCCTGCGCATCTCAGCTGCGCACAAACCATGTGGTCTCAGCACGGCTCACAATAGCCCAGAGGTGGCAACAACTCAAGTGTCCACCAACGCAGGGGCAGATACATAAAATGTGGCCTGTCCACACAACGGGACATTATTCAGTCACGAAGGAATGAAGTACTGACTCATGCTACGGCTGGGACGAACCCTGCCAACACCGTCATGCTGGGAGAGAGGAGCCGGACAGGAAAGGCCACACGGTGTGCGACTCAGCTGACGCGAGATGCCCAGGACAGGCAGATGCAGACGGGAAGTAGAACAGCGGTTGCCTCATGCTGGGGTGGGCTGTGTGTGTGTGGGGGGCATCTTTTTGGCATGATGAAAAATTCTGGAATTGGATAGTGGTGACGGCTGCACAACTTTGTGAATACTCTAAAACCATTAAACGGTACCCTTTAACGGAGGAATAGTCTGGCATGTGAATTATACTTCAATGAAGCTGTTAAATAATAATAATTTTTAAACCCCGAAACCATGCACTGTGAGGAACCACAGGCCCATCCTTAGCCCACCCACCGGGCAAGGTGGGCGCCTCGCTCTGAGCCTGCAGAGCGGCCGAGTTCTGCACAGGGCTCTGCGTTGCTCACGGCCCCCCCTCGCCCCCCGCTGCCGTGTGACCTCAGGCAGGTCATTCCACCGCTCTGAGCCCCAGTGTCCGTGTGTCCACTGGCCACGCAGGCCTGTTGGCCAGGTAGGGTACAATGAACGCTAAGTGCTGCAGTCCTGGGACAGAGGCCTGGGGAGATGCTGACGCCACAGCGACACTGTCACCACGAGGCTCAGGGCGCAGGGCTGAGCAGACGACCCAAACACGACGTCTGGGATCCCAGGCCGACACTCTGGGAGGAGAGGGATGGGTAGCAGAACTTCCAGTGCATCACGCGCCCAGCACAGCGCTAAGACATCGCCTGCACCTCATCATCATTAACCTCTGCAACACTCCACATTGGCTATATGGGGGAACTGAGTCATGGGGCGGCGAGTCCTCAGAACCCCAGGCAGAGAGTGGTGGAGCCAGCGCCCCTCCCCGCCGAGAGCAGGCGCCTCCCCCTCCTTTCCAGCCCCCGCAGGAAGCACAGCCAGCGTGGCCGGCGGGCACAGCCCACCCACCTGCAGGTACTCTGTGAAGAACGACCCCAGCTCCGTCTTCAGCAGCTGCCTGTGGGCGGGAGGGGAAACGAGAGTGAGTCACAGACCACGTGGCGGCACGGGGGGGGGGGGTACCCGGACCCGGGACTGGGGTGGGGCCTCTGGGCAGCAGGAGACCAACCTGCTCAGCCCGAAACCGTGTCGGGTGGGAGGGTCCAGCCCATCCAGAGCTGGGGGCCCGGTCGGCCCCACATCTGGGCCTCCACGGTCCATAGCTGCGGCCCCTCAAGTTCATCCCTGCACCCATTCCACAGAAGAGGAAGCCGAGGGGTCCCCACGGGGAAAACGCAGGCGACCGCGTCTCATATTTTCTCCCGCAGACACCTGGCAGGGCTGGGCCTGCAGTGGCCAGCCCACTCCCTTCCACGCGCCCACATCCCAGCCAGGGCTCCTCCTCGCCCCCCGCGGAGCTTCCTCCAGAGTGTTTCCTCCTTTACTCCAGAGAAGCCCATTCAGTCTTCACCGACCCAGCGGCAGGTGTTGACTGGGGCTGCCCTTTCACAGGGGAGGCAAGAGAGGCTCGCGGAGGCCAAGTGACCAGTCCAAGGCCCCGCAGGACACGCCAGGGTTCGGACCTGAACCTCGTCCTTTGCATCCAATGCTGGTAATTCCTGCACGTCAGGGGCTGAGAGCAGGGAGCATCCCATTCCACGCCAACCACGGACCAAAACCACACAGGCATCGTCAATGTCGAGCGTCTCACGGCCCAAGGCAGACCAGTAAGGGGTCACATGGGACACTGGAGAGGGGCCGACCCCCACGGAAGCCCCGGCAGCACCTGCAGGACAACATAGGCATGGACAGCTCCGGCCACTGAGTGTGGGGGAAAGGCCTTCACAGCCGAGCACAGCCAGGGCTCCCAGGGCCTTGGATTCTAAGAAGGTGGGTCACATGGAACGTCCTTCAGGAACAACATCATCCAAAACCATCAAGATAGAAAGAGGCTTGGGTCCGTAACCTGGCAGCCCTCCGCAACCCAGAGGGACCTGCGCCCTAAGATTTTTCCTTGCGTCTAAAGCCCATTCATTATGCAAAGTGCATACACTTCTGTGCCTCAGAAGAAAAGCCACCAAAGGAAGGAATCAGGAGACAGTGAGAGGACTGGACCACGCGCGAATTAAAACCTCTGGCGCTTCAGGGACACAATCGAGACAGCGAAAAGCCAACTCACCAAACAGGAGGAAAGATTCACAAATCAGTATCCGATAAGGGTCTAGACCCAGAAAACATAAAGAACAATTATAACTCAACCATAAAAACACAAACGGCCCAATCAAAAAATGGACAAAGGATGTGACCAGACATTTCTCCAAAGCAGATACACAAATGGCCAACGAACACATAAAAAGATGCTCAGCATCCTCAGTCACCAGGGAAACACGAATCAGAACTGCAACGAGACACCGCTGCACACCCACTGGTGTGGTCAGAATACAAACTGGAAAGTAACAAGTGCTGGTATGAATGCAGAGCATCTGACTTCCCCCCGCCCGCCACTCGCTCCACGCGTGGGAGGGCACAGCGGTGCAGCCGCTGTGGAAAAGAGGTGGGCAGGTCCTCACAGAGCTACACAATTACCAGGGGACCCAGCAACTCCGCTCCCAGGTACACGCGAGAGAAATGACACACATCACGCAAAAGCTTGCAAACAGATGTTCCCAGCAGCGCTGCTCGTAAGAGCCAAAAGGTGGAAACAACCCGCATGCCCATCGACGCACACGTGTGCTCTCCACGCATGCAGTGGAATGTTACTTGGCCATAAAATGAACAAAGTGTGGAACCACGCTCCCACACGCATGCACCCGGAAAGCGTGGTGCTACGTGAAAGAAGCCCGGCTCAAAGGGCCACACGCTGTGAGCCCTCGTGTATGAAATGCTCGGATTAGGCAAATCCAGATGGAAAGTTGCCTGGCATCTGATTTGCCAGGGCTGGGGGAGCGACAGGGAGCCACTGTTAACGGGTATGGAATTTCCTCTCGGGGCGATGAGAACGTTCCGGAAGTAAACAGGGGTGATGGTTGTACGACATTGTGAATATGCTAAAAGCCACTGGACTGTACACTTTAAAAGGGTGAACTTCATGGTATATGAATCACATCTCAATAAAAAGTTTATACACACACACAGACACACGATGACGGCCGGACATCAGGGTCCTCACTATTCCAGCCCTGGCCCTGTCCACCTACCTGTGCCTGGGCACATTCAGGGCACCCCCTGGCCCCCGAGTCTCACTAACCAGCTGTAAGAATCAAGGCGGAGCATTCAGAGGCTGGTGCAGTTGATGGCTCTAGTCACAGACTCTCTCACGGGATCAACACTAGTGACCGATTCTGGACCAAATCTGCATAATTAAATGCACCTAACTTAATGTGGCCACGTCAGCAAGAGCCAAGAGGGCAGGGGGTTCTGAACGACCCACAGGCCCTGGAGTCAGGGGCCTGAGCGCCAGCTCCACCCGCCAGTCCTGCGACGGCAAACGACCCACTCAGCTGCTCTGGGCCTCAGCATTCTGGCCCGTGCAGTCGAGACGATACGGCGTCCGCCCCTCAGGGCTGCCGTGAGGAGTGGGTGAGTCTAAGGTACAGAACGTCCCGTGCCCAAGGCTGGCACAGAGAAAGACTTCATGAAAAAGGCCTTGCTATTATTACTTAGAGATTTCTAGAACTTTAAACTGGCTAAAAAGAAGTTGCCCCAAATAACCCAGCTGCCCTGGAGCTCGAAGCCTCACACAACACCCATTTCTACACATTCTCATGGGTAAGGGTCCTGGCTGGTGAGAGGGGCCTGGGAGCTGGTGGCTTCTCTGTGCCCCACACAGCACACACTCCAGGGGAGCTGCCGCGAAGTGCCAGCTCCCAGGGGTCAGGCCGGGCGGGGCCCAGGGAGAAGAGGACACAGCAAGAATCGGACGGGCGCCCGCCCACGCTGCTCAGGCTGGAGGGCTGGGGGAAGGTGAGCCAACGCCGGGGCTGTGCCTGCTGCTGCCTGAATTGAAAACTCTTTCTTTTGCTGTTGTTCAAACGCTCTCCAGATTCTTCTTTTTTTTGAGACAGGGTCTTGCTCTTTTGCCCAGGCTGAGGCTGGAGTGCAGTGTCGCGATCACAGCTCAGTGCAACTGAACTCCTGGGCCCAAGCCATGCTCCTGCCTCAGCCTCCTGAGTACTGGGACTATAGGCACATGCCACTTCGCTTGGCTTAAATTTTTTTTGTAGAGGTGGGGTCTCACTGTGTTGCCCAGGCCAGGAGCAGATTCTTTAGGCTTCTCGCAAACTTCCGTTTCCCTAAGCAGAGGAGCACCAGGAAAGGGGGCTCCTGGGGCCCCACCCTGGCCAGGCCAGATGATCCAGAGCAAAGCAGGACGCCCTGAACAAGTGACATATGCTGGCTTCAGTTTACCCATATGTTAAGGGTCCTCTCGGCTCTGCCACGCAGGGGTGGGGGCAGGGGACCTACGAATTAAAATCTGACCTACTTACTTTCTTTCCCACCTCGAACACTGAGGGGGAGGTTCACTGCCTGTTTCCCCGTGTTCTTCTGACACAGGGACGGGGCTCAGAGGGTCAGGGTGGAGGGAGGCGGCACAGAACTGGGAAATGCCCCCTTGCAGCAGCTATGTGACCCTGGGCAAGTCTCTTGGCCTCTCTGAGCTTCTGCCTCCTGTACTACGCAGACATCCGCAGATCCCTGGAGGCCGCCCGGCTCTAGCAGCAGCTGTGGGAGCCCATCCGCCCTCGCCCTTCACAGTCCTCATTTCCCGGCTCTTCACAGGAAACGAGGGTGTTTGCCGGGCTGTAATTGCCTTTCCGGGAACGACACTCAGTCATTAGGCAGGTGGGTCCTTCCCTCCAACTGAGTGAATATGCTTCGCGATGCTGGACGCTGGTGCGGCCCTGCGGGCGTTACCTCGAGGCACTGTCCAGGTCCCACCCCGCTTCCCCTGAAGACCGTCAGCAGGGGTGGGGGCTCGGGGCGTCAGCCGAGGTCAAGCCCCGCACGGCAGCTTGGGAAACCCAGCCCGGGCCCTGCGGTCACTGCTAACGTGGCCTCTGAGAGGGAGCCCCAAGCGTGGCTGGTGGGTCAGGGGCCTCCACCCTGGGACCGGCCCTCCCTGCCACCCACCGACCCAGGCCCAAGGCACTCACCGGACACCCTCGTTGAGGCTGAAGAGCTCCTGGTCGGGCAGCCCCTTGCGCTGGAAGACAGCGATCACCCCGTTGTGGATGCTGCGGGAGGAGGAAGACGAACGTCACGTCCGGAGTCCCAGGACCCCTTCCCCTTGCCCGCCAGGCCTCCCCCCTCCTTCCCTCTCCTGCCCACCCCTCCCGCTCTGCCAGGAACAGGGCGCGCCGGACCTTACTCTCAGAAGAGCAGGAATCGCTGTCCCTGCGGGACCCTGTCCACACCCGTTTAACCCTGTGACCCTGCACCCCCAGCCGGCCTACCCGCAGCCCAGGCCTGTGTCACCAGGTGCCTCCTGGTGACCTCTCCGGGACATCCCCTGCCCCTGCACACGCTCTGCAGCCAAACCCCGCAAGCTCAGCTTCCTTCCTGTGCTCGTGAGCCCTCCCCACCCAGGCCAGCACCGGGGACCCTCTGCTCGCCCCTCCCGCCCCCAGCGCACTCGCGCCATGCTGACTTTTGCCCGCCCCACGTCTGATGTCTCTGGGCCCTTCTCCTCCTCCACGGCCACCCCAACTCGGGCTCCACACGGTGTCCCTAGCCGACAGTGGCACCCTGTCCACCCTGACCATCCACATGCAGGCCCGGGGAGGGTGAAAAGTGTGCGTGTGCTCACGCCCTGTCCCCCACCGCTCTGCTCACAAAAACCCACCAGGGCAGGCGTGGGCAGGCGTTTCTGCAAAGGGCCCGAAGCAGATCTTTTAGGCTTTCTGGGTCCTCCAGTCCTCGTCACAGCTGCTCAGCTCGGCTGCCATGGTGCGAAGACAGCTTGGACGACACACCAGGGGACGTGCGGGGCTGTGTCCCAGCAGAACTTTATTTACAAAGACGAGGGGTGCGTGCCAGAGTCTGCCGACTCCCCGCGCTGGCGCCTTCCTGACCAGGAGCTCCAGGGTGCCTGTGCCAGCCCCAGGGCCCCCAGCCGCCCTGAGCACCGCGCGCCCTGCGTTACCTGCTCCCAGCCCCACGGGGGAAGCCGCCACCAGCCATGGGACCTGTGCACCTGCCTCTCCTGCCTGGTTCTTCCTTCCTCTCCCCACTGCCAGCTCCGTGGCTCCTCCAGACACCAGCCCATCACCGGCTTCCGCAGCATTTGCCAGTGTGTGCCCACGCGCTACGTGTGATTAACCTGTCCCCTCCACGACACGTAAGCCGAGAGTGCAGGGCCCTGCGCTGCTCGTGACTGCGTGCCCAGCCCCGGGCTCGAAGGGGAGGCTTGGTAAGTATTTTGTGAAAGTTCATCCTCCACTTTCCCTCCCCTCCAACTGCAGTCGATCCGAAGTCCAAGCCGGTTCCATCTCCCAGATCTCTCCACTGCACCCTCCTCGCCTGCCCGGAACTCGGGTTACACCAGCCCGCCTCTGCCTCCCCACTGCCTCCACTGTCCCCGCGGCCAGAGACACTTCCCAAGGTCCTGCAGGTGGCATTCCAGGCTCCTCTGGGCATGGCCCTGCCCCACACTCCCGGACATCCCAGCTCTAACCCCACAGAATATGGGACCCTCTAGGCAGTGCCACATCACTGGGTCTTGGCACCCACTGCCTGCTCTGCCTGGAAGGCCCTTCTCCCTGTCCACAGGGCCAGCAGCTGTTCATGCTGGGCCCTGACCCAGAGGCCTCCTCCTCCAAGAAGCCCTCGGGCCCCCTCCCTCCCTGTGCAGATTCATTTACCAGCACTTTGCTGATTCACTTTGCTGAGAGTGGCCGCCACCAGACACAAGCTCCCCAGCGTGCGAACCAGATCTGGGTGGCACTGCCACCTTGCACTCAGGACGTGGTTGAGGCTCTGAGCCTCAGCTAGAGGAGACAGTGGGCCGGTGCTCCTGTCTCCTCGTCGACTTTCATTGACTCCATCCTGTCCTGTGATTGGCTGCCCACCTGACAGATGAGAAAACTGAGGCCCGGAGAGGCTAAGTCCTTTGCAGAAGGGCATAGAGCGGTGTCCCCACATGGAGCCAGCTCGGCAGGGTCACAGGCCTCACATCGCAATGTCTCACGGAGGCTCCCAGCAGCGCGGGGACATGCTCAGGCCCCACACCTAGCTCCTGGCCCGGCCAGCTTTGCGCAGGAGTTATCACCCCCTTCCAGCAGGCACTGGCCAAGGCCACGCCGGACACGTGTCACCTGACCTGGGGTGCCCGACTACTCCGGAATGCTCCTTATTTACGTGTCTGGGGACGCAGGCTTGCTAACTTCCATTTCTTGTCTGTGATACGGGGATCGCGAGAGTGCCCACCCGCAGGGCGCTGTGGGGACGAGAGCCTGGCCCAGGCTAGGGGCTCGGTGCATGTTCACGGCCAGGATGGTGCTCACCAGCTAGAAGCCGCTGGGTGGCCCCAGCCCCACAAATCTGTCACAGTAAAGCTGCTTCCCATTTACAGAATGAAAAAAGGTAAAAATCCCGCAGGAAGGCCAACAGCCCCCAGGAAGCCAGCTATCCCAGAGCGGCCCCTGTCCTCCAGGAATCCCAACAGCTGGAAACTCAGGCCCAGGCTGGGCGGCTGCAGGCGGAGAGTGAACGGCACACAGTGGAGATGCCTGGGCCAGCCCCGCCCAGCCCTGTCCCTGGGGGAGCCTGGGGGCTGGCGGGTGGGGGCGCTGCTGGCCATGGCCCTGGGCCCCAGACTGGGGCTCAGGGCAGGTCCCTAGTTCTCTCTGGAAGCCCAGGCCTCTCTCAGGGCGGTCCCTTCGCTGGACCCAAATCACCGAACCCAATTCAGTGGGAAGGACAGCATGGCCCATGGTGCGAGGCAGGAGGAAGCGGGAAGTCTCCAGAAGCCAGTGCACTGGAGCCCAGGGGCCTCGGGGCTCGCGTGGCCGAGGCTTCGTCTGAGGCTCAGCAGCAGGCTCTTCCAGGGTGCCACAGTGGGCCCCCAGCCCACTCTGGTGGCCCCGGCTCGGGGGTGACCCTACACCGTGAGGCCTCTGGACAGAGTCCTCCCTCGTACCTGAGGCCTTGTGGGAGTGTGGCGCCCACTGTCACTCGTGCCACCCCCTTGCTGACCCTGGGCTTGAGCTTGAACTGCGCCAGCTACTTCCAGCTCCTTTAAGGAACCTGCTTCCTCCCTTCGAGGCCACTGTCCTGGCTGCTCCCTCGGCCTGGAGGCTCAGCCTCCACCTGTCCCCCCCCCCACCCCCGGAGCCGTCCTCACTCCTCCTGTCTCACCTGTCGTGGTCTGGTCGTCTTTTCTAGGGAGGAGAGGTCTATCCGGCTTCCTGTTACCATCCCCCACCCCAAACGGGCTGCGCAGAGTAAGGCCAAGTCACTACTCTTTGCCCACAGGTGTCTGAGCATCTCCTGGGATGTTTTCCTGTCCACACCCCACCCCCACCCCAGCCTCTGGCTCTTGGGGGGACCTTGACTTCCTCCAGCCCCCAGGCTGGTCCAACGTGCAGGCCTGGGTTTGAATCCCAGCACGATGCTTCCTGGCTGTGTGCCTTGGCCGAGTCACCTCACCACCTTGTGCCTCAGTGTTCCCATCTGTTCAACGGGATTAGTAAGTGCAGCGCCTACCTCCTGGGGTATTGCAGAATCAGCTCTGCGGTCTTTGGCGGTTATGGTACAGGGAGGGGCGCGTATCTACCACGCCTCAGCCTCGCCCAGCCCAGACAGGCCCTGCGTGGTTTCTCAGTCTCCTCCTAACCACCAGCATGTGGCAGGGACTGTTAGACCCCAGGCTACAGGAGAAAACACAGGGGCTCAGACAGGCCGAGGGACTTGCCCAGAGTCACACAGCTTGACACTTGGCAGAGCCAGAATTGAGACCTGGAGCCTGGCCTGTGGTCCCCTCCCCCGCCCCAGGGGGCTCTCAGGAGCTGCCCCTCACCCACTCCCACCCAAACCCTTGGGTGAGGGAGGGAGGGGTGTTTGGTAAACAAGAAACCTCGCTGTGCCACTGGGGATAGAGGAAGGGTGGGGAGAGCAGGAGGGCCTCATGTGAAGTGTCATCCCCCAAAATAGAAGTGAAACCCCAGCTGCGCTGGCCCGTGGCCTCCCCGACCAGATGGACAGGCCCAGTCGGGGCACGTGCAAATGGTCCCGTGGCCACCACAGGAGCCTCTGTGGAGACTTCCGGGTGAAGCCTGCATGAGTGGAAGCTGCCCACGACCTCCCTCCTCCAGTCCTGGACGGCCTGCTCCAGGAAGGCCCTGCCCCCGCAGGCACGCCCCATCTGTCACCCCAGGGCAGCCCCTCCTGGCCCAGGCCGGGTCCCAGCGCTGGGTGGGTGTGGGGTGAGGCGAGAAGGGCAGGACCTTCAGTGAGGCCGCAGGGCCCAAGGAGCGGGAGGCCTGGGCTGGGTAGGCCCCAAAGGCCAAGGAGCTGAGGGGCTGACTGTGGGGCCTCCTGGGGACACCTGCCCGTGGCCGCGCTGGCTGAGGCCAGTGTGAGGCTGGAGCCTGGCTGGGCAGGTCTCTGTGGTGCCCAGCTGCCCACACAGGAAGCCCAGGGCAGGGTGAGTGAGGGGGTCCACCCACAACCCGGCCCAGGTGGGTCTGGCTAACACACCTCCAGGGACACCTGGGAGGACAGCCCTTGTGGGGGCCTGGCAGTGGCCCATCCTTCCCAGGCCCCAACCCCAGCGGGACACGGCTTCCGCAGGGCTCAGAGAACTTGGAGATGAGAGCGGGCCTCTGCCAGGTGCCCCTCCTCACTTCTGCCCCCAGGAGACCGACCCGGACCCCCAGCTGGGCTGGCTCAGGACCCACGGGAAGGGCAGGTGTGTGGCAAGGGTGGCAGGGCAGTCAGGCTGTACTGGGTCCCTGTGTCCCCCCAGGCTCACCCTGCCACTGGCTGCTACCTTCCTGGTGAGTGCCCACTGCCTCTGCCCTCTCGCTGTCCTGTCCTTCAAAGGGTGACCAGTGTCCTTATTTGTACCCTGGAGGCCACACCCAGCCCCAAGAGATAAAGCTGGGGGGCTCCCGGCTCGGTACCAGCCCCCCAGAAACTCAGGTCCACTGGCCCTCCACACTTCAGGGTGAGAAGCACAGGGAGGCGGGTGACTCTGAACCAAAGCCCGCCTCCATGCTGGGCCTCAACGTCACCT